GACCATACGTCCCATTATCCTTTGGAGAAACTTCGGTACCCTAAAATGTCCCGCTTTCAAAAATTAACAAAGTAAACAAAAGTTGTAAGGCAGCTGAAACTGAGTACCAGAAACCAGAAATTACTAGTCTACAGTAAAACCAAATGACTCACTAATGTCTGCTAACGAAACAGTGTTGCAGTTTTATGTAGGTAACATTGGAAAAAATTATTTCTTAAGCATGAAAAAGTGTCCAAAAGTTTTAAAAATTGTTTTCGAATTGAATAAAATTTAATTTGAATGTTTAAAACTCAGCTATGGATTTTTTGGCCATGTCAAAAATATATATAACTAAATTTGTGTGCTGTAATGGGATATCCAGTATTTTAAAATTTGTGTTTAGTTTTGTCCTTTTGCATATTTTACACATTTTTGCGGTAATGGGCGACACCCATTTACAATAGGTAACTTTTAATTATTATTTAAATGTATGCTCAACAATTCTTTATGGTTATAATAATAAATAATATGAGCTTTCTAATAGAAACTGTAACTTATATGCAGTGTTGGGTAAGTTACTTTTTAAAAGTAACTAAGTTACGTTACAAGTTACAAAATAAAATAGGTAACTAGATTACTTGATAGTTACTCGAGTACAAAAGTAATGCATCACGTTACATTTTTTACTCAAAAGTAACTAGTTACAATGACGTTACTCTTGTGTTATTTAAGTTTCATAAAAAAAAAGTCTTTTTTAAATCAATCTTTTTTTATATTTATTTCATACAATAATATATTTTCAAAATTTTGATCAGTTATTCTAGCTCGTTTTTTCGTACAAATGTCTCCAGCTACACTAAAGAGCCTTTCAACAAAAGCTGAAGAAGGGAGTGACGTATTAAACTTTACAAACATTTGTTTCATCATAGGTAAACTATTTAAAATTTTTAAATCGCCTGTATAAACTGTATTATAATAGCGCTCCACTTTACCATAGGGTTGATCAGAAACTAGGTTAAAATCAGTTAAATTGAAAATAATATTAACACAAAATCGTATATTTAAAAAATAATATTAGATTATACTGTGAAAATTATGTAATTACATAAATACCTACTTAAATTATTAATATAATTACATTTTCTGATGCGGATACGAGGGGAAGGACTGTCCCATGAAATAGCACCACGATAGTATCCCAGCCCTGAAAAAAATTTAATTTATAATGTAATGCGTTCTTTTGCTAAGTTACTTCTAAATAATTAACGTAGTTACTCTTGCGTTACCCAAAAATAATAATAACGAAGTTACCATAACGTTACTGAAAAATGTAACTATGTTACAGTAACGAGTAACGCACGCTACGTTACTACCCAACACTGCTTATATGTAATAATATAGTAACTATTATCATTTAAACTTACAATGTCCAGTAGCTATTTTGTTTTTTTTTTTTGTTATTTGTATTACTTAATCTTGACAGTAACAACGTACTAACATTTTGGGAATAATGAAGATAACTTGATATTTGTATACCATTTAATGAGAGAGAAACTATACCTAATTAATGTGTTATAACAAGTTCTCAGTAAATTTACAAAAATATATAGAATCTCAGATTATTTCTTATGTGATATGTAAATCAGAATAATTTTGCACAATTCACAAAATATACAAATTCAGAACTTATAAGTCACTACTTACTACTTAGATATTTATGAATCGAAGAATGTTCATGTTTTATAAGAAACATTGTTAATCTCTATCACTTTTTTTAATTCAAATTATTGTCATTATTTTTTAGCACTTTATACATAGATTTTTTATTGGAAAGAACAAAAGTATATGTACAATCTGTAATAAAAATGTTTACAATAGGTAATATGGGGGGTTTATGGAGTACAAGCATACAGGATAGGGCGACATGGTTGGAAGGTGGGTCCAAAAACCTTGCTTCTTAATTCTGAGTTGTTTCTTTTTTATTATTTGTTTGGTGTTGTTTTTTTTTTAAATGTTGAGGAGGTCCCTGGGTTAATTTTGCTTGCTTGATTGTGTGGTGAGTTATCAGGAAGTGTAAGGGAGTAAAGGTTTGAAATTAGGAGATTTGAATGGTTTATAATATCGGGAGGCTAGTAAATTAATGGTTGGGATTTTGAGGTCGAAGGAAGAGATTTCTGAAATACCAGGCGACATTTGTAATGAGGCAAAGGAAAATTGATTAAAATGATTGGAATGTTTCAAGTTTCTATTATAAATACTTTTTAAAGGACAAATGGTTTGGAGAGAAATCATTTTTTTACAATGTTTTTTTTTTATCCAATATTGTCAAAACGTGAACATCAATTGCTTATAAAAAATGCATGTGTGTTTATGCTTAACTTTTTTTTGATTTCCAAAAAAAAATTTATTAAGAGTGTTGTGTTTAATTTTCAAGTCTTAGATGTTCCAAATAAAAAAGCTGTAACTATAAAACTATTTTCATATTTTCGTGGTTTCGTCATTTTGAATTTTTTAATATTGTTATAAATATTTGAACAATTCTTGTCTCTATAGTAATTCATTATTAAATTACAACAAAAAAACGGCTTAAAAGATTTTATGGAAAAATTCCTTTTTTTAAATAAATTAAATAAATAAAATAAACATTATCTATAATAATTCATTTTTAATATATTGTTATCAATAATTGTACTTGTTAACATATTTGGCCATTTGGTTAGTATATAAATCCGCTGGGAGCGCTGTATGATCTTTGCATAGACGAATGGATCTTCGCAGGAAAAAATGTTTTGTGTCCGTATATAATATTGCATACATTTAGCCCCTTTTTTGCGGTTTTCAAAATGTGATAACATTGATAAACCGATAACATCATTTTCATTATAAATTATAAATTATAATATTATATTTTATTATATTAATTTTAATTAAAATAGTTAAATACAGTAGTAGTTAATAAGTTATTAAAAAACACAATATCGTAATTTAAAATTTAAAAATACACAATTCATTGAGAATACAGTATAAATGTAAAAAATAATGTTATTAAAATAACATAACTATTCAACTAACATAATATTATTTTATAGATATTATAATAAAATTATTTTTTATGTATGGTAATAATAATATTATTTAACAAATATAATAATCAAGCTATTATAATAAAGAAAGTATATTATTATAATTATTATGAATCTTGAACATAATTTAATACCCTTTGAATAGAAATCAGTATAGATGGTAGTATAGTATCTATACTTACAAACGAATCAAAACCTATGCAAACTGAAGATATAAATACAATTAACATAAAAAAAAATATTGAAAAACAACCTCGTTTCTTTACTAAAAATAAAAAAAAATAAACTTGAATTTCATCAATTGTCGTCGAGTAAAGGTAATATAATAAGAAAATCCTTACTAAATAATACAAGTGTTGTAAATGTTCATTCATATGACGATCATTCTTATAGCGCTAAAAGAAAATTAATTTCTTAATACGATATTATTATTATTACAGTACACAAATATTGTTATAAAAATAATGTTATTATAATAACGTAACTATCCAACTAACATAATATTTTTACATTATAAATTATAATTAAAATAGTTAAATACATTAATAGTTAATAAATTTCATAATACACAATTCGAAAAAAAACACAATATTCTTAATTCACTTACGATCGTCATTTAAAAGATACATTTCAACAATATATTAATGAATTCATTTTCTTTTAGCGCTATAAGAATGATCGTCATATGAATGAACATTTAAAACACTTGTATTATTTAGTAAGGATTTTCTTATTATATTACCTTCACTCGACGACAATTGATGAAATTCAAGTTAATTTTTTTTTATTTTTAGTAAAGAAACGAGGTTGTTTTTCAATATTTTTTTTTATGTTAATTGTATTTATATCTTCAGTTTGCATAGGTTTTGATTCGTTTGTAAGTATAGATACTATACTACCATCTATACTGATTTCTGTTCAAAGGGTATTAAATTATGTTCAAGATTCATAATAATTATAATAATATACTTTCTTTATTATAATAGCTTGATTATTATATTTGTTAAATAATATTATAATATTAACCATACATAAAAAATAATTTTATTATAATATCTATAAAATAATATTATGTTAATTGAATAGTTATGTTATTTTAATAACATTATTTTTATAACAATATTTGTGTACTGTAATAATAATAATATCATTACACAATTGCTATCTGGGTATAGTTCGAATTTTAAAAATATTTATCAAATTTAAAATTGTATTATATAATTTAACTTTTATAGCTAAAGATTGAAAATTTTAAATAATGTTCTACGTAAATAGGTTGTACATTTATACTGTATTCTCAATGAATTGTGTATTTTTAAATTTTGAATTACGAAATTGTGTTTTTTAATAACTTATTAACTACATTTAACTATTTTAATTATAATTAATATAATAAAATATTATATTATAATTTATAATGAAAATTATGTTATCGGTTTATCAATGTTATCACATTTTGATGACTGCAAAAAAGGGGCTAAATGTAGGCAATATTATATACGGACACAAAACATTTTTTCCTGCGAAGATCCATTCGTTTGCATAGACCTATTAACTATGTATATAGTTAATCTTAGGTATTTGGTGAGAACATTCACGGTCCCCTTTTTCTCGTTTCAGTACGGTACGAAACTATATTATCTAAAATTCTAAAGCCTCTTATGCTTATTGCTTAACGTCATTCACGATTACACGATTTGATTTGTTATCGGCAATTCAGCAATTTTATTTTTTTATTGAACTTTATTATTAATTATTATATACCTACTTTAATAATTGTCTAATAACTGCGTGTAGTTGACCTGACAAGTGACATTGACAACTACAAACTATACAGACGGCAGTCGGGTCTGTGTGACTGTATTACTGTATTTATCAAACCGGTATTCGGTAACATAGCATAATAGGTATACATAAGTATTCTTATCTATGCCACAGTAGTACAGCGGTACAGCACGTACCCCGTGGCAGTAATAGGTATAATATAATAATATTATACCTATTAGTATTATTGTTTTTAGTGTAGTCCAATGTCCGGACTAGTGAGTTCGCAGTCTACTCTCTCCCTACAATTCAACGTTTGACTTTGAGAGATAATATTAATCATTGACTATAGATTATATTAAAATTTGTATGTGCAGTTCGTAGAGGTTACAGACCTAAGAAGTGACTCTTTTTCTTGAAATATTACAATTTCTCACGATCTAATAAACGTTTATAACTTATATACGTAGCCATTATTATAAAATCTTCAAAATGGCATTTTTTTTGAGATCGTCAGTGTCTAAATCAAAATTGGTTTTTTCACTATCAAAAATTAGAACACCAGTAACTTCAATGAAGCTGTCCACATGTAACTTGGAGTACATAATTACTGAAAAGGCTGGCGAGAAAAAAAATATTGGGCTTGTCAAACTTAATAGACCTAAAGCTTTGAATGCTTTATGTGATGGTTTGGTCACAGAACTGACTGAAGCCGTATCTGCATATGATGCAGATGATTCAATTGGAGCTATTGTTGTTACTGGTAGTGAACGTGCATTTGCGGCTGGTGCTGATATCAAGGAAATGCTTGACAAGACTTATTCAACTAACCTAAAAATTGGTTTACTCAAACAATGGGACAATCTGAGTAAATGCAAGAAACCAATTATTGCTGCAGTAAATGGTTTTGCTCTAGGTGGTGGATGTGAATTAGCAATGATGTGCGACATAATCTATGCTGGAGAAAAAGCTAAATTTGGCCAACCCGAGATTGTGATTGGAACTATTCCTGGAGCTGGTGGTACTCAGCGTATGATACGTTCTTGTGGTAAAAGCTTTGCAATGGAAGTATGTTTATCTGGAAACCAGATTTCTGCTCAAGAAGCCTTATCTAGAGGATTAGTTAGTAAGGTGTTCCCACCAGAAAAGTTAGTAGACGAAGCAATTAAATTAGCTGAAAAAATAAGTGAACACTCACCTTTAATTGTTGCATTATGTAAAGAATCTGTAAATTATGCATATGAATCAAGTTTAAGCCAAGGCTTGCAATTTGAGAAGAAATCATTCTATGGAACTTTCGCAACAGATGACCGGAAGGAAGGAATGACTGCATTCATTGAAAAAAGGAAACCAAACTTTTCTAATAATTAATATTAAAAGTAATTCCATTGTATAGTATTCTGTCCATTGTTTTTACATTTAAATTTTAATAAACCTCTTCATTTTTTATACAAAATATATTTATTATCTTTGTTCAATTTTTGCATTAAACAATTACTACTGAACATAAAAAAGAATAAAACTGGATGTTATTTGTGAAAAATTTTTGGTATTATTTTTGATTTTGTGCTACTATAAATTCTTGAGTATTCGAATAGTTCACACTCTAGAGTTAACTGTAGTGTACTGTATTTAAATTTAACATACATATTGATATCATCGTTATTATAATTCAAGAACATGTTCTAAATATTATATTAGTTTTATTAATGTAAAATATTATTTTCCCAGATATTTAGAAATAAGCGTATTCATTGAGCAATTTGAAGTAGACGAAGAATTATTAGAAAATGCGTTAAAAAAGTTTTTGATATTGCCTCCAATTTTTTTAACTGATTTACAAACATTAATCGTTGTTTTAAAACTATTACATTTTGCATTGACAAAAAGTATGTATGTTTATAATTAGATAAAATTAATTGCCTTAATGATAAAAAATTTTGATTTTTAAATATAATTTTTCTAGGAGTATTAATTAATAAATTAAGTTGGGTAGCTGAAGTATTAACAAAATCTGAATCTATGCATCATAATATGGCAGATGATTTTAAAAATGATGATACATCAAAACAATTGGTTTGTAATTAATATATAATATGCATAGTTTTTCAAGTTATTAATATTTTTATTTTTCAGTGTAATCAATTTTTTATTGAACTTTATGAGGTGTATTGGCTTTGCTTAAAAAACTATAGCCATTTTTCAACATTAAATTTAACAAAACTGTTATTTGATCAATTGGCATCTACAAAAAAAGAAATTGGTATAAAAATTATTTACAACTGTATCTAAATAATTGTCAAAGTCACAAGTTCATGTAGTTCTCTGAAAATGCACATCACTCTTTATACTTAAATTCTCTATCTATTCAAATTTTTGAATTTGAAGTGTGTATATTGTAGTCAATATTTATAAGTATAAATATTTTTTCACACCCTTTTTACTGTAAATTGCTAAGCATTTTTTTGTTTAGTGATCTTAGTTTCACATAAAATATAAAATACTCGTAATATTGAGTCTACTAGTTTATACTCCGTTCTAATTCTGATTTCCAAGTAAGAGTGCACTAGACGATAACTGGTCAAAACTCACGCATTTATCCCCACTACACTTGGTGATTCCCTGTTTACCACAGCGCCGTCAGCTGCGATGACTATAGACGATTAACAACGACCAATAGCAGAGCAAATAGACTCAACCTGGTGGTCTGAATGTCCCTCCGTGATTCCTTTTGATGTTTTAAGTCCAAGGCTGTGCGCTCTTATATGGAACGAAGTATAGTGCACATTAAGCTCAGATAATTTTATAAATTATAAGAATGATAATAGATTTTAAAAATAACTTTAATTTTAAGACATCAGCGCCTTAAAATTCTTCTCACGGATATTATTGTGGGCAATATCCTTAGTTTATGTACAAAGAATTCAATAACTCAGAATCTACTCGTTCAGATTTTGATTTTTAAAATCTAAACTTTCAAAAAAATAATTTGCATAACAATTTACTGTAAAAAAAAATGGACAAAATTCTGTTTATATCAACAGAAACGTCCCTACAAAAGTATGAAAATCTAAATATTATTGAAAGTAAATCTTACATTTAAGTAGGTTAGTACCTGTTATTTATAAATAGGTATATGTTCTAAAAAATGTTGCAAATCAGAACTTATAAAATGCATACTTAAAAGTTAAAGGAAAAAACCTGAGTTCTACTGGTGAATTGCCAAATGCATATTTTAAATAAATTATTATTATCTTTAAAATAAAGTGTAATATTTGGTAAAAACAATTAACTTATTTATCGATATCTGTTGATGTGAAAACAAAAAGTAATTGAAGTACATTTAAATTTATAGTACTCAACAATTTATTATTTGTTTGTATAATACTAATAGTAAAAAAATTATTTTTCAGTTTTATTGCAAGTTAATATGAAGTGTCTTACTTTATTAACAGAAAATTCAAAAAATATAAATAAAGACCTTGTTAAAATGTATTTATCTCAATTTATTTCATTAAAAACAATACTGATGAATAACTCAAATGAAAAGAGTTTACAGCGAAATTATTTAACTGTCCTGAACCACATGCTTCATTTTACAATTTTAGTACCAAATGTAAAATAAATATACAATTTATTGTTGTTCCCAAGTTTAATCTAAATTATTAAAATATAATTCTACTAATAGATTTCTGAAGTATGGTGTATGTACGACTGGGAAACATGGACATGGTCAATGATACATAGTACTGATTTATTAGTACGTGCTCTAGTCTTTCAATTTTCAGCTGGCTTGGCTGTCATTGATATTCCAGTATCACATAATTTAATTCACCTTGCGTTAAAGTAAATGTCTTAGTTATTTTACCATGTTTAACCTTTTCACTGCTACACGTTTTATGTTCTGCAGCCTGTGTATGCAACATACAATTAATTTTAATTTTGAGATCTATTTGATCTAAATATTTAAGTTTAAAATAATGAGCTTCTTAAAATTGTACAGTTTTTGGCAAATGATTAAATTATAAAGCACAGGAAGGTAATAGTACACCTGAACCAGTGAAAAGGTTAATACGATTATATATAATTGATTATTACAGTTTACATTTCAATTAAAATTTGTTTGTAGTTATTTTTGTGAATCAAATTGCTTGGAAAATTGTGTTGTTGCTGAGCAAGCAACTTTGTTTTGTTCAAATCTATTTTGCTTCCCCAAATTTAAAGTAATGTGTTTTGCTTGATCAAATAAATAATATATTTATTTGAATTAATATTATTTCTTTTTTCAGAGTTTATGCCACCAATGCATTATTAAATTGGATTTCGATGCTTTTGTTCAAATTATTAATTTGTGTTCTTATTATGACTATACCAAACCTGGTGGGTGATATGTTCAATTGTTACTATAAATTTAAAATAAGTATAATTATTAATGAAAAAAAAAATGTTGTGCAGAAAAAAAAAACTTTTTGACATCTCCAAAACTTGTGTCCAATATATGCTGCATGGTTTTCAATATGTTTACATTAACAGAAGTAAATTTATATGAACTCAATCAACATAATCAATTTATACAAGCACTTGTCCTGTATGTATTTTGTTTAGTATTAAGCTGCTAAATAGTTGGTATTTTCTTAACCCTTGTAAATAACTTATAATGTGTTTATTGCAATACTCCTCAATTCCTTATTTTTTATTTTTTTACAAGTAATTGTTATATCCATTGTTTTTTTATTATTTAATTACTATACTGAAGCGATAGATATTTTTTGGTTTTCCTCAAACCTTTATGGGTTTTTTTCTGTATTTTAACTATTTATATCATACATTTTTATATTAGCAGTTCTCAATTTCTCATACATATCAAAATATTTGGACCGCTTTATCAATTTCCCTGTCTTTATTAGAACTATAATCTGACAGATAACACTTCCTCATCAATCCATGAAATTTATTTCATATTATAAAACTATTTCCCTAACTCCCAAAATCATCTTTGATATTAAGCGATTAAACTTTGCAATAATTCAATATAGTGTGTAAGTGCAATGTAAGCATTTAGCCTTCCTTTATTATTAGATGTTTGTGATTGTGCTCCATAACAAATATAAATGTATACATTTTAAAATAATAATCATACTTTATTAACTACAGGTGCTTAAAAAAATATTTGACTCCTATGAGTATCGAAAAACCTAATATCATGGAGATGTGTGGTCGCATATGTTCTGTTCTTACACTATTTATACCCGTTAGCAATTATAATTTTGAAAATTTGTTAAATTCTTTGAATGTTATCTATGAAAAGATTAATTTTGATTTGGGTAATTATAACGTTTTCACAACAATTTATCTAGTTAATTGACATAGTATAATATGAATATTGTGTTTTAGATCATTGTACAACTATGGTATGGAGATCATTATTTAGGCTGACAACAATAGTTTTACAATATACAAATTATAAAACATTTATTTTAACAAACAATTTAATAACTGCATTATTAACTAGTGTAACTTCAGAAAACAGTGATTTATGTATTGAAGCATTAAATGTGGTTTCTTTAGTATGTCCACAACTATCTAAAAGTAAGTAAATTATTCATAGTATGTACCTATCTTTAATCTTGGAATTACTCGCATATGTACTGCTTTAAAAGAAATTGAACTGTCCATTATATCCAATTTAAAATCAATTATTGTTGTTTTATTTTTACAAACTATAATAATATAACTTTACTTATCTTAGCCAAAAGTATAATATTCTGATTCCAAAAATAATATAATTTGGAAATTTTGGAGCACTTTATTATGATCAAGTCTTCCAAAATAAACCATGTCATATTGTAAGACGATAGCTACTATTCGTGATATTAAACCATACTTCTCAGTTCTCAATATAATTATCTAATTTATATGTAATTGGTAATTTATTGTAAGTTATATTTTTAAATAGGTATCCTCAACTGTCTACTGGTCTGGATAATCTTATTTACTTTAGTTACTTTTGGGTCCTACCTTGCAGAATGAATCATCAATCATCAACACAATTGTTTTCCAACATTATTATTTCTCTATTAGTATAATTTAATAATATTGTAGATTTTACACTTAGATTTACTATAACTATTGAACATTTATAAATTAACTCTATACAAATACCTATTAAATATTATTTGTATTTTATGTAGAGTTTGCTCATCGTGTTTGTAACATTTTAATTCGTACATTGCTTTTGGAGTGGCATCATAAATTAAAACGAAAAATGTTATTAATTACATTATCAAATATATTTATTGAACATCCATTTACATATGAAACAGCGGTGCAGGACAATGTATTATGTTTCATCATTTCTAAATTGAAAATTATGCAACTACAAGTTACTAAACAGTCAAATCAAAAATCAGTATGTATATATTAATCAATAATTGTGTTAGCCTGAGCATGGATTAATGAATTTAATATACATAAATATTTTAGAAAGTATTACAAAATGAGTATTTGGAAATTGTGAAATTTTGTTGCAATTTATTCCACGGA